ACCGCGGCGCAGAACAGTCAGCAATGAGTCTGCTGACCCTGAACTATAAATGCAACGGGTTCTTTTTGCGGGCTGTTTCGAGGCGCATACCGCGGGATGTACTTGCGGACGGCGCGTAGATTAACGTCCGCAAGTGTTCCGACAGCTATCTTTTCTCCAAAAAATATCGGATCTTACGGTGTTGCAGTTCCGCTGAAACTCTGGTCGATTCTTCGAGAGGGCATCTTAAACTTCTTTTCATGCAAGAGTGTTTAGCAGGTCAGAAGATCTCGTTGCAAAGCCACAATGTTTACTTTCGTAGTTCGAAATGCTGCTACAATGTTGCGTATGCTTCGAAAAGAGTTGTTAAAAATATTTGACGATCCTAGAATGGTCAACAGTTGAGAAGATTTCGTTGAAAAGATACAGAGTTTACTTCCGCAGTTGGTAATGTTGTCACAATGTTGCAATACACCGAAGTGTATCGAAAAAAGAATCCTTAAAATTTCTTATCGATTCTAGAGAGAGGTAAACAGTTGATGTAACACTGTCACAATGTTGCATACTCTTCGAAAAGAATTGTTGAAAATTTCTGTCGATCTTAAAATGTACAACAGTTGAGAAGATCTTGTTGAAAATCTACAGAGATTTCTTCCATAATCCGTAATTTTTCCACAATGTTTCCACAATGTTGCAAACCTTTCGAAAAGAATTCTTCAAAGTTCCTATACATCTTATACTGTTCTAAAGTTGAGAAGTTCTCTTCGAGAAACCTCAAAGCTTATTCCCACAATTTGCAATGTTGCCACAATGTTGCACACCCTTCGAAAAGAATTCTTCAAAATTCGTAATGATCCTAAAATGTACAATATCACAGAAGTTTCTTGTTGAAAGTCCACGGAGGTTACTTCCGCGATCCCCAATCTTGCCACAATGTTGCATACCATTCGAAAAGTATTCTTCAAAATTCCTATCTATTCTAGAATGTTCAAGAGCTGAGAAGTTCTCTTCCAGAAACCTCAGAATGTACTTCCACAATCCTTAATGTTGCCACAATGTTGCATACCATTCGAAAAGAATTCTTCAAAATTCCTAATGATCCTACAATGTACAATATCAGAGAAGTTTCTTGTTGAAAGCCCACAGAGCTTACTTCCACGATCCTCAATCTTGTCACAATACTGCCACAATGTTGCTTACCCATCGAAAATAATTCTTGAAAATTCCTATCGATCCCAAAATATTCAACAAGTTACAAGTCCTCGTCGCGAAACCTCAGAGCTCACTTCCAAAGTCGCCAATTCTGCCACAACGTTGCACTGCCCCAAAAGCTGCGCGAATCGTTAGAAAAGCATTGTTAAAACTTTCCATCGATCTTAGAACCCTCGACAGTTGCAAAGCACTTGGTGAAGTGGCATGCAGCAGTTCCTCCTGAAGTCGGTAACAAGAAATGCCGTGATTAAACGTCAAAGTGCATACTTGCAGCGCATAGTGCGCACTCCGGAAAGAGGCGGACAAGCAATCGGTTGACGTCCGCGTCGCCCTCGAAGAGGCGGCCGGGTCGGGTCGGGCCCGTTTTTGCTCCTGTTCTCCGTTGGCAGCGGCGTTTGGTGACTCGTGTCGGAACCGCGTGCAGCAACATCGGCGAGCGTTGGACGGCAGCCAACACGAGGCGCCAACATATTCCCGTTCCGTCTAACGGTCCTTGGCAAACCACGCGAAACACACGGCCTTTATACCTTTCGTCGCGTTCCGTTTCTCCGCGCTCGCTTTTCTGCTCGCGGCCCATCCGCGGCGGGAACAGCGCCGCTTTCAGCGTTGTTTTCGGCCGAGTGTCGCCGCCGATCGGCGACCCGCTCCGCAACCCGAACAAGAACCTCGCTGTAATCTGGTAAATTTAGGTTGTTTAATCGCCGCTCGTCCTCCATCTCCGGCGTCTATTTCGACCCCGCCGCGAGATAGGATTCCGCGGAAAGATCCGCGAGCCTAATCGCGGGTATAATTAAACCGGAGCGGGAGCTCGCGGGATTCCCCGCGGCAGCGCGGCCCCGTGAAATTCGTATGGAACGAGCGCGGCCGCAATTTAGACGCGCTCCCTCTTTCTCTCTATCGGCACCGGCATCGATCATAGTCATCCGGTTTCCTCCCCCTTAAGCTCGCACGCGTACGTGCGATCGTTGCGTCACGATCCCACGGTTACGTCACCGACGTCGGCCCGTTACATCAGACGCGTTGCGCAATCACGGCTGCGAGCCGCGACGGTGATGCACGATAATGACAGTAATATAACGGCAATTAGAACGCTATTACCGAAGCGTCGGGAGCACTTAACGGATGCCCGACGATTTGCCCGGCGTTCCGCGTAATGCCGCGCCGCGGCGGCGTCGCCGGGAACGACGGAATCCGGCCGCGCGGTTTTCTTCGAACGTCGTTTTCGGGCGTCGCGACGCCGACGATCGCGTCTCGAGCATTTCAATCTCGGTCCTGGCTGTCGATTAAAAGCGAGGAGGGAGCGGCCCGTCGTGATTCGGCGATTTTCGGCTCGGGGCTGTTCCGCAGTTCTCGTTGTTCCGGCTCGCACTTTCCCGATTAAATCGCATCGGAACCGACAGACACGCTGCGGTTGTTTATGCAAATCCCCAGTGCGCAAGCGGCGAATTGAAAAAACGGTCATCGAGTTCGTACAACGCTGATGTTGTCGATGTGAAAATATATAGTTATTCGATAGAATCAAACTCTGAACGATGGCTGACCAGTGTTGTCCGAATCTACTTGAATATTGCCAATACATGAGATTGAGCGTACTTGCTCGTACAATACTTATAGATTCAATAGTTTTTTAAATGTAAAAAGCAATATTATAACGTAAAAATTACTTTAGAAAATGGTACAATCGAAATTATGGTATTTTCGGGCAATTAGAGATTCCTGAGATCATTCGAAGCAACTTTTTCCTTTGCGGAAGTTTTCTCCGAGGCACCGTTAACGAATTATCAACGAAAAACACTGGCCAATGAGTGGCGAGCTCGGTTGACGCGAGGCGGCAGAGCCAACGAGCGCGCGAAGTTCAGTCCCGCCCATTGACTCGGGCCGCCTAGCGCAGGCGAGCCCGTTCCACATTGGTCATTGTTTTTCGTCAATAACTCGTAAACTAAGCCACGCAGAAGATTTTTGTAAAGGAAAAAGTTGCTTCAAATCACCTCAGGAACCTCTCATTTCCCGGAAATACCATAATTTTACCCTGTAGAAATTTTCTGTGGTGCTCTAGAGTCACCTTTCGAGAGCAAAGGGTTAATATCACGACTACGGTCCTTTAAGGTCCTTGCTTTTAATATGAGATCCCTGGAGTCCAGACGATTCATTGCTATTGTTGTTGCAAAGTTGTTAAAGGCTTGATCAATAATCCAAGCGTCACGTTGCTTGTCAACTTCAATGCTTCTTCTCGATTTTTTAGCTCAACACTGTCCTTTAGGAACTCATTCTAATCATTAAGGTCTAGTGCGACTATTTCATATTCACAAGACTCTTCAAATTGTTAACAACAATAACGACAGGTTTGCGACATATTTGCAGTCAAAATATCACAAAATTTAAAACGAGTTTATATAAACTGTTCATGCAAATCGCTGATTCGCAGATTCTGTATCATATTAATATGATACGCTCTGCGTTGTAAAAAATTGGGTTTTACCCGTATATATAAACAAATAAAATAAAATAAAATAAAATTAAATTAAATTAAATTAAATTGAATCGAATTAAATATCCAACAAGATTAAATTTGCTGGCGCGTCGAATGCATTTTCCTTCGAAAATGCATCCCGATATCGTTCGGGGACGTTTTTAAATAGAGAAACCGGTTCCCGAGCTTTTAATAATAAACACATAGACAATTCCGCCTTTCAATTACCCGGTGACCCAACGACCCGACTCGTTTATCGACCTTAATGAATCGCCGAAGGCCAAAGAATCGGATTCCCGCGGCCGCTGATAAGATTCATTTCACCGGGGCCAGGCGCGGACACGTAACGAACCGCCGCCAGAGTATAATTAATCGCGGCAATTACGACGCCAGGTATCAGACGATGCCTCGAGGAAGCCCGATTCGCCGGTGGAAAACGATCCGAGACACCGAGGCTACTTCGCCGCGTTCCCTCGTCGTTCCTCTTTCCTCGGCGAGCGCGTTTCTTACGCGGAACTCGACGGCAGGACAGCACTAAGTGCGCATACTCGGCAAAATGAAAATATTATTCTCATTCCACGACGATTCCCGTGCCGGCAATTCCGATAGACATAGAACTGTGTTCGCTTCACCGAGGACTCCTCGCGTTCATAAAAGTTGCACGTATTTTCGCCGATCGAGTTTCGCCGCGTTTTAATGAGACGTGCCGCGAACGCGCAAATATTTGCCGGGAAACCATCAAAAATTCCGGATCGAAAGCCAACGCAACGAGATTACGAAATTTCGGTTTTAATAACGACCGCCACAAATCCGCAAATATTCGCCCGGGAAACTATCCGAACGTTATATCTCGCCTCCGTCGAATCGAGCGCGCGATAAGCTCGCAAACGAATTGCCGCAGCCGCGGACTTCGCGACGTTCTCGCGAACTTTCGCAGTCTAACGATGACCGTGCACAGGCGGCTAACGATGTTTGTCTTTGCATCGCGCGACGTGAAACGCGCGGGGAGAGCTGGGACGCCTGGGCGCGAGCGCGCGCGAGTTATCGCGTCGAAAGTGGCCGGCGTGACCTTAGACGATGACTGGCCGTCGGCGGCGTGTACGTCACCGGCAGGTGAAAAGAGAGAAAGCCCAGCGATTTTTAACGAAAATATCAATCGGTGTTTTTCTCGCGTTTCGAAACCTCGAATGGCCGAATCCAGTCGCCGCCGGCGTTTGCCTAGAATTTTCTCGCCGCGCGGATCACGCGCGTCCGCGCGTAAAACCTGGACTCGGCGATCCCCGGATTCGCCGAACGACCGGTCACCGAACGACCGTTGACCCTGCGATGGTGTTTGCAGCAGGACTGGGAGCTGATGAAGGGCTCGGTGGCCTGGGCGAGCGCGGTCCGACGCTGGGCGGAGATGCAGGACGGCCAGAGGATCCTGCTGACGACGCCGAGCGTGCTGGTCGGCTTCAGGGTCGAGGTTTATCGGGCCGAGGGCACGACACAATGGTACACTGCCGTCATTGTTGGTTACAACGAGTCCACCAAGGTGAGACTTACTCTGTGAATGTCCTTTTTCGTCGGATCCTCGCCAGAATGATAGCGGCGCCGCCAATGGCGCGAGCCAAAGAGGTTTTGCCTTTTGAAAAAAAGAAACAAGAAAAGAAAAAAACGAAGAGAGATCGAAGCAGTCGCTGCGACTACTTCGGATAAACGTAGCTGACTCTGTTGCATCCATATGTATATAGAGGGTGTCCCAAAAATGTCTCGCAATCCGAAAGTGGCGGGTTCCTCGGGTCATTTGAAGCAACTTTTTCCTTTGCAAATATTTTCTCCGATGCGCCGTTAACGAGTTATCAACGAAAAACAGTGACCAATGAGAGGCGAGCTCGGCCGGCGCGAGGCGACCGAGCCAATGAGCGGAACTGGCCTTCGTGCGCTGGTCGGCCGGGCCGCCTCGCGTCAGCCGTACTCGATTCTTATTGGTCACTGCTTTTTCGTTAATAACTCGTTAACGGTGCCTCGGAGAAAATTGTTGTAAAGGAAGAAGTTGCTTCAAATGATCCGAGGAACCCGCCATTTCCGGATTGCGAGACATTTTTGGGACGCTCCGTATATATACATATATGTGTACATATTTTTGTATCGATTACTATGAACGACAAAAAGGACTCGATCAGACGCTATCGGGAGAGACGACGGTGCCGCTCTCGAGGCAAAGGCGGCCGATCGCCGATCGGTCAGGCACGTTGACAGAGAAGGCGGCTCGTGGATTCTCCTTAACGAGGCGGACACGTCGGCCCCGCTGACAGAGATTGGCCCTCCACCACCCGCCGCGAGCCGTCCTCGCGCGCGAGTCCCGGCCACGTCGGCCATAAATTCCGCGGTTCCAAAAGATTTATCGGTGCTCGGTAGCCGCCTTGATGTTTCAATCGTCTGCGACCGACGTCTGACGCGACGGGCCCAGCCGAGCCGAGCCGAGCCGAGGCGAGGCAAGGCGAAACGCGTCACGCCGCCGAAATGAAAGATGCCTTTTCTCTGTCGACGATTGCCTGTCGGCGCCTCGCACCGGAAGAGAGACACGTCGAAGGCTCGCGGTAACATCGGTTCACAATTTATGAGGAGCCCGGTTGCTCCGTCGATCGATATATATATATACAGATATATAGATATACAGGATGTCCCAGGTTTTAATGTTCAAACTTTGTCAGTGTATTCTATGGCACGAAGTAAGAAAAAAATGTCACGTAAACATAGGTCATACAGAGCTTTATTAAGAAGTTATAACAAAAATTCAAAATAGGAATAGTAATCAACTTGCTGTTACTGCGAGCATTGGCTTGAATAAATCAGCACATGCCGCGTGTTTATGTAAGCTGCGTTTATTAATACATTTCGAAATGTCTACCGTTGTTGACAATACATGATTGACATCGATCGAAGATCGAATTTATGACCGTGCGAATTTCGTTTCCATTCTCTTTCATTTCATTGAACGAATTTTTGTTATAACTTCTTAATAAAGTTCTATATGACCTATGTTTACGTAACACTTTTTTCTTACTTTGTGCCATAGAATATACTTAAGACAAAGTTTGAACATTAAAACCTGGGACACCCTGTATGTCGTTTCGGTGCTCGCACGATCCTGCCGACATGCCGGTTCTCGCTTGCTCACGACCTCTTCGCGACGCTGTTTCAGGACTTGACCGTCACCGACGACACCGTCCTCGAGGATCACAACGAGGACCCCAGTTTAGTACAAATGCGGCTGATCGGCGACGGAGGTAAGTCCTCGGGAATCGCCGGCGAAATCTCAGACGGATCGGAGATTAAATTTAAAAAATCGGAGGAATTATTTTGAATAGATTGTGGCGATCGTGTTGTAGGGGGTCGCGAAATTATGGTATCTCCGGAGAATGAGGGGTTCCTCGGGTGATTTCGAGTAACGTTTTCCTTAGCGAAAATGCGATCCGCGGCTTCGTTTAGGAGTTATCGGCGAAAAACGCTGACCAATGAGAGACCGGCTCGGCTAGCGCGAGGATGGAGCGCGCGAAGCCCAGCTCCGCTCATTGGCTCGGCCGCCTAACGCCAGGCGAGCTCGCCTCTGATTGGTCACTGTTTTTCGTTGATAACTCGTAAACGAAGCCGCGGATCGCATTTTCGCTAAGGAAAAAGTTGCTTCAAATGATCTCAGGAATCCCTTGCTTCCCGAAAGTACCATGATTCTGGGACACCCTGTACGTCGACGTATTTTTCGGTGATTGCTTCGTTTGCGAATAGACCAGAGCACATTTGCAATGATATTATTCGAAATATTTTAAATGATATGTTACTTTATTTCGATGTCTGTGATCTCTGATTTGTGGATTTTAATGTTAAATAAACAACTTCTGCTGCAACTGCAAGGCAGATGAGACGAGCACAATTTTCTTCCTTTCTTTAACACTAGATTTACGGAACCCGTCAAAACGACGGGCCACTAATTTTTTAATTTACGATTATTCATATCGAACAGATACATTTATAAGTTTTATTTATTCAATTTATATGTTACTTACTTGTTAAAAATCGGAATAAATGTCTTAATGTTATTTTAACTGATATAAAACAGCTGCTTTTTTGTGCTTCGTAAATCTAGTATTAATAATGTTGTTAAGTTGAAATCAGTGCACCAACATTCTTAGCTTCTTTCAGTCTCTTCACTGTTTTCAGTTTCACCCATCCATTTTTTCCCATAAATGCATAAAATCCACAGTCTAGCGATCGCTTTTCAAGTAACATTCTTTGTAATATTATATTAAAGAACACGCGATACTTTATTTTACAATGCTTCGAACCAATTATTTGAGATAATTGCGAGATGCTTGTTGAGAATTATACGTTACTGTCATCCTGATATGTAATTATAATGAACCTTTATTACGAATTTGCAGAATTTTAAAGAATTGTATCTTTCTGATAGAAAATTTAGCTCGAAACAAATTCACGTGATTGTTTCTTATAAAAACATTTCCTCGTTGTATATTATTTTACGTATTATTTCTTTCGTCATATTCTCTAAATATTTCAAATACTTATTCCTTGCTTTCATTTCAAGCAAAATACGCTCAGGTCTGTTTACGAAAAGATCGCATTTAACCCTTTGCACTCAAGTGGTGCCTCAGAGTCATCACTGAAATTTGTTATATCACGTTCCAAGATAATGTTTACAGTAACAAACGTTAGATTTGAAAAAATTGTCAAAAGTGTAACCGTTGTGTAAGTCGCAAGACTCAATTTCGCGTGCACAAAATGCACTTTGTCATATAAAACGAAAATATAATACTGTAGATCAGAAAAATTATTTTAGATTTACAGTTGAAATAGCTTCGAGTGCAAAGGGTTAAGTCTATCGCAGCCCGGCAATACTAGATTAGCATGTCCGACCATTGCCAGCCGTTTCTACTGCGCCTAGCTTGAAAAATCCGGCCTAAAAGCGTGCCTAAACTCTCGCGCGTCTCGCATAGTTTCAGTAAAACGTTGATTCTTCCTGGCAGCGAGACGCGATCGCGTTCAAATTGAACACGCGTTTCGATAGGTTAATTCGCAAGCTGTTCGATCGAACGTCAAAAAGCGAGACTTTCGCGCACCGACGCGTAAAATTCGTTGCACCGTTCGCGGCTGATGAAACGCTGTCCGCGGCGCGTTTTACGTCCGCTTCGCGCAGAAGCGCATCAGACTGGCGCAACATAGAGATCAGAATCCACAATCTACGCGAACGGTAGCATTAACACCGATAAATAAATACCTAACAATTCAGATTCAGGGCTGTTCGAAAAATCTTATTATCGACGAATTTCGCAGAGATCGATCGGCATAATTGAAATAATTCTGACGCAGCAAATCGTTTCCCCGTTTTAATGCGAAGGAAACTCTTTTCCGCAGTGGTCGAGAGCATCATGAGAGGCGAGGTCGTCGGCATGACACCGAGGAGGTCGAGGTCATCGACTGCTCTGACGCACGCGCTCGTCGTGGTGAGTGAAATTCAATTCCGTTCTATTATTAAATCGCCATGTAGTTTACGATAATAAACGAGCAGCGTGTCAGACATTTTTGCGCGTGCGCTCGAGCGCTCTCTCTCCCTCTCCCTCTCCCTCTCTCCCTCTCTCACTCTCTCTCTCTCTCTCTCTCTCTCTCTCTCTCTTTCTCTCTCTTTTCCCCGCCGTCTCTCGGCTGTTCGCCCGAGGAATCATGGAAAGCGATGTGTTCGCGCGAACGGCAGACCGGCGAGAAACTCCGCGAAAACGACGCGACGGGAACGAGAGCCGACGAGGAGCGAGCGAGCGAGCGAGCGAGATGATCCCGGACCGGCACCGTTAGCTTGATTAATGCCTGCCGGGGATCGTGACGTCGCGTTTCGCAACTTCCATCGACGATCGGACCGGACCGGGTTTCCAGTCACGAATCCAGCCGCGGCGATAACCTCGTCGGAGCAAACATGTAACCCGAGCGGAGATTGCTTTAAATACGCTTCGGTCAGCCCGGCGATACGCGCGAGCCCGTATCTTCGCCAGCGACGGAGGAAATTCGATTGTTCTGTCGCTCCGAAACCGATTCCACTCGGTGATCGCAATCCTTCCGCGATCCCTTCGCGATCACTTCGCGATCCTTCTGCGATCCCTTCGTTCCGCGTGTTCTTCTATGTATAAACTTATTTCCTTCTAGAAACTTGTCTTCTTCCGTAAACGTATTCTCTTCTATAAACTGCGACAACAGTAATTTCTCCTTAATTCGCGCTCAAATGGCGCACGAAAATGGACAATCTGGGAAGATGAGACACGATTATTCGAGACTCGCGGTTCATTTTTGTAGTTGCCGATTGTTAACAATTGTACAGTAAATTTTTTCCCTAATTGACGCTTAGATTGTGCACAAAAATGGACAATTTCGAAAGAGGAGACACGATTATTCAAGCTCGTTTTTATATGTACCGATTGTCAATAATTGTAAAAAAGAGGCGCAAGATTCTGATAATCGCATCTCCGCTTCCCAAATTGTCCGTTTTTGTGTACAATCTGGGCGTCAGTAAGGGAGACATTACTGTACAGTAAATTCTCTCTAATTGACGCCTCGAATTGTGCACGAAAATGGACAATTTGAGAAGATGAGACACGATTATTCGAGACTCGCGATTCATTTTTGTAGTTGCCGATTGTACAGTAAATTCTTTCCTAATTGACGCTTCGATTGTGCACAAAAGTGGATAATTTGGGAAGAGGAGAAATTCGATCCTTGAGGTTCATTTTTATAGTTACGAATTGTCAACAATTGTAAACAATTGTGGACAATTTATAACTATAAAAATAAATTGCAAGGCTTGAATAATCGTATCTGCTCTTCCCAAATTGTCCATTTTTGTGGTCAATCTGGGCGTCAATTAGAGAGACATTACTGTAGCGCTGCAAAATCTGGCGCGACTGCTTATCGATAACCAAGCTAATACTATAAATTAGTTGCGACGAGTTACAACAGTCGATCATTGATCGTAGAATTGTTCGACCGGCGGAATCGTCGCGACGAGCGATTCGCCGCGAAGGCGACGGATAACCGATCGCGGCGAACTAAATAGTTAATTGATCGCCGTGACCGATTGGCATTACGAATTCCAAAGAAAGCGAGGAGGGATCAGCGCCTCGGCCGCCAGCCACCGTCGAACTATTTCCGAAGCAATTTGTCTTGAAAGTTGCCGACTTTTTCGTGACTTTGCGAACAAAGTCGGCAGCTGTCCGACCGCGCGCCGTCTATATCCGTGGCAAAGTTATACGCGACCGGTGTCCCGCGTGGCAGTTCGAATTCAGCGCGGTGTCCTCGGCTGGAAAGAATTGGCGCGTCCTTGGCGAGTTCGCGTTCGCATCCGTAAGATAACGAGCGAGGCAACTTTCGACGCATCGAGCCGCTCGTTATCAGCTTATCGTCGGTCGCCGCGAGCCGAGGCCGGCTCGCCTTTGCATTCCCGGCAGATAACGGTTATCTGTCCGGCGAGATAAGCAAGCGCGAGCCGCGGGGAATCTCGAGTGGTCCGGGAAAAGGTGCGACGGAGACGCTCCGCGCGTAACCCTTTCGCTACGGGCGGTTTCTCCGCCGCGGTACTTCCGCTGAACGGAGCGCCGCGACATCATTGCGCGCTACGCGACGCAGATCGTCAGTACCGCAGCGGAGAAACCAAGCTGATTGAATGTTTTCGAACGAAAAAATTTTTCTCCACAGGGTATTTATAAATAAAGGGTATTCCAGGGTATTTATAACGCCTTAGCATGCGCTCTTTAATTTACAGTATGAGAGGAAATAAAACATTATGCAATATAATGCGTCTTATGGAGGGCCACTATAGTGGCCCGTGGTACTTCAGTGCAATCTTATGAGGGCCACTATAGTGGCCCGTAGTACCTCAGTGGCATCTTATAGAGGGCCACTATAGTGGCCCGTAGTACCTCAGTGGAATCTTATGGAGGGCCACTATAGTGGACCGTAGTACCTCGGTGGCATCTTATAGAGGGCCACTATAGTGGCCCGTAGTACCTCAGTGGAATCTTATGGAGGGCCACTATAGTGGACCGTAGTACCTCGGTGGCATCTTATCGTGGGCCACTATAGTGGCCCTTAGTACCTCAGTGGCATCATATAGAGGGCTATTATATTGGCCCTTAGTACCTCAGTGGCATCTTACGGAGGGGCACTATAGTGGCCCTTAGTACCTCAGTGGCATCTTATGGTGGGCCACTATAGTGGCCCGTAATACCTCAGAGGCATCTTATGGTGGGCCACTATAGTGGCCCGTAGTACCTCAGTGGAATCTTATGGAGGGCCACTATAGTGGACCGTAGTACCTCGGTGGCATCTTATCGTGGGCCACTATAGTGGCCCTTAGTACCTCAGTGGCATCATATAGAGGGCTATTATATTGGCCCTTAGTACCTCAGTGGCATCTTACGGAGGGCCACTATAGTGGCCCGTAGCAGCGAAAGGGGTAAATCGAAGCGCCGCGACGCGGCCCGATCGGACCAGAAGCTTCCCTTTAAACCGGGGAATCAATAAAGTCGTGTTTGCGGCACCCTCGAGCTTTACAGGAATCGGGAGCGGAGTCCGTTGCTACCTTGGCGGCCGACTTCCGTTCCTCGTGAACACGATTGCCCCACCTTCTTCGTGTCCTCCTCGCTCGATTTCCTGGCGAGACGGTAATCGAACGCACCAGACAAGCCCCGGCATGCTCGCGGAGCTCTTTAACGAGCTAGCCGAACGGGCTCCGCCGAGAGCGCTTCCTTATTTATTTATTTAGAGATTCCTCGCGATAAGCGGGGCTCCGCCTCCCGCCAGATGGGCGATCTTTGACTCCTCATTTTCTGCTGGAAAGCTCGAACACGCTATCCGCCGCGCGCTCGTAGACCGGGCAGAGCCGGTCTTGCGGAACCCGCGGAAAAATGGTAAATCGACCGCGGCTCTTCATGCAAATTCCTCGGGAATTTTTCCGCCTTGCAAATTGCTCGCTGCCAACTTTTACACGCGCGAAAATCCGCGGTGTAACCGAGTATCGCCGCGATTAAAAAAAAGAGATCTAAAAAGACAAGCGCGCCGAGGTTCCCGTTTAAGTGGATTATCCCTGCCGCCGGCCGGACATGGAATATTTATCAAAAATAAAAGTGTCCCGCTGAAAGCGCTTTAAAGCCTATTTCGTTCGTTTCGACGTCGAAAATGCCTGGGTCGGAGGTCCGGGAAAATTATTCCTCGCCGACGCGGAGCTGTCGCTTAGAGACGGTCGCGTCCGAGCGAGCTCTAATCGCGAGGCCACTCGCGTTCACGGTCCAGCCGGCGGCCGAGGGCTGGTCGGATGGGCGAAACAGTTCGATCCGGCTCCCGGAAATGGTAATCAGAAGTCACTTTTCGAAGTTGCCGCGTCTCGGCCGGGACAAGACTGAAGCGTTAACCCCGGTTGGCCCGAGGCCCGCCGCTTCGACGACTCGAAACTTTCTATCGTTAGCGAGTAATTCCGGGAAAGTTTGGAATCCGACGTGGCCGGGGTTACCCGGCGTCTGCAGGAAGAGTTATTCCTTCTTCGAAATTTCTTCGTGCCCGGAGAGGAAAGTTCCGCGAACAACTCCGGGCTCCATCCGTCGACCTTACAATCTCGTTAATGCGAGAGAAGCCGTCCGCTTCCTCCCTCCGCCCCCTCCCTCCACTGTCCCGAAAACCGGTTCTGGTTCTTCATAAATCATTTTCCGCGCGGTATTCCTACGCCGGGGGTCGCCATTAGACCGACCGGTAGTCGCCGGACCAGCCCTTAAAATTACTTTCTTCCGCGACCTTCGCCGGACGGAATCCAGCTAGTTCGAGTCCTCGCTGAGTTCCAGGATTTTCACGCCGGGTTTCCGGTTTCCGATGGAATCGACGATCTAGGCCAATGTTCCAGGCGCGGTGGCGCAATGTTTGAATGTCTGTCGAGTTACATTCGAGTCGATATTATCGAATCAATAGCCAACCGAATCGATCGCTGGATATCTGAATAGAAATTCGTTTCAATGAAAAGTTATTCGTTGTTCGATTAAGAATTTGGTTGTACTGGAAATTGAGTTGAATACAACTCAACAGATGATTTGAGTTGAATACAACTCGACAATTCATTTGATTTGAATACAACTCAATAATTCATTTGATTTCAATACAATCCAATAATTGATTTGATTTGAACACAATTCAACAATTGATTTGATTTGAATACAACTCAGCAATTGATTTGATTTGAATACAACTCAATAATTCATTTGATTTCAATACAATCCAATAATTGGTTTGATTTGAATACAACTCAACAATTGATTTGATTTGAATACAACTCGATAATTCATTTGATTTTAATACAATTCAATAATTGATTTGATTTGAACACAATTCAACAATTGGTTTGATTTGAATACAACTCAGCAATTGATTTGATTTGAATACAACTCGACAATTGATTTGATTTGAATACAACTCAACA